GTTTTAATACTTCTGGGCAGCTTATTCCAGATGGATATGGCGTTTACTGAAATGAATTGACGGTACTTATCTGTGCGTGCCATAGGAAGAAAAAAAGAAATCTCGATGATTGGCGCGCCGAGAGTGCAGAAGCTGCCTTATTGTACTGAGAGGATTAAAGGTTTGGCCATTCAAAAGTTTAAACAGTAAAAATAGACCTTTCTGTAATCTATGAAGCCACAGTGGATTCAGCTTTATAAGTTCGCACCATTTTTGGTAGGCGAAGTTACGGTTTTCTGTAGTGAAAACTCTTTTAGTGAAGAAGTGCTGCACCGATTCTATTTTATTCTGTTCACTAGTGCGCAGATGACTGGATAGGGGCGAGCAGTGGTCAAGACAAGGTCTCACGTACATGTTATAAAGGCTAGCTCTAACCTTTATGGTTTTAAAATTTCTAAGGATAAATCCAGTGGTTCGGCATACTTTCGAGACTATCAGGGCACACATGATCTCACTTGACGTGCAAAGCTTGTTCACGAACGTGCCACTAGATGAAACCATTGACAGAATGTGAGAGAATGCGGCTGAAACATACCTGGAACCAGGCCAACTACGGGAACTACTACATATGTGTACGAAAAACATACAGTCCCCGATCAACGGACAATTGTATCGTCAGATCGACGGCGTCGCTATGAGTAGTCCATTAGAACCAGTCCTAGCTGATATTTTCATGTCGAATCTTAAACGAAAATTGAACAAGCACATAGGAAAAACTGCTTTTATAAAAGATACGGGGAGTATATTTTTGCCGTGGTCGAAAACCCTAAGGAGGGAGAACTGCTACTTAAAGCTATAAATGAGGCGCATGCAAAGATCAAATTTACGATCGAGCATGAGAAGGAAGACACACTGGCTTTCTTAGACGTGCTTATCCACAGCCGCGCAGATGATTCTATTCAAAGGTCCATATATCGGAAAACCACGTAGAAAGCGCAGCATATGCACTTTCTTAGATTCGTTCCAATTCAGAGGAAACCAAACTTGTTTTAAGGCCTTTGCAAGAGGGCTGCTAGAATCTGTTTTTGGAATTTTTATTTGTAATCTCCAGAACGGCACTGTCCATAAATGAGTTTTCTCAAGAAAGTGTTATCTGGAGACGGCTATCCTGATAAATTCATTAATAAGTATAAAAACCGCAGACAATAAATTACTCCTAAAATATAAGTGCCAAAAAAGCCGGTGAGCATCTTCCTCCCTTTAAGGGTGATAATATCTCCAACGTGATAAAACGGCGGCTTCAATTTACAATTGAAAGAATCTATCATGCCGCTAAATTGTTGACGTAAGCACAACAACGACAATGCTTCATCTTGAGATGTGCTACGCCACTGCCCCATTGTAATTTCACTGCTGCAGGTTTTACTTTCCGTCCTGTTTTTCATACTCCAATTACAAAAAATGACCGCATACATACTCCAAAAAGCTGATTTGCTCTTCAGCAGGAGCTGTGCATGCGTGTAGATCAATGATGTGATTTTAAGTTTTGCGGTCGTGAATTTCATAGCGATGTCCGAGCACGCACTGTATATGACAGAAACTGGTTGTTGTGTTTTTGTGCATTTGAACACAAGCAGAAACAAGTTAAATAGACATGAAACGGTGAAACAGAAAAATGATATA